TTATATATATATATATATAACTTTTTATTTGTTGACTGCAATGTATCAAGTTGAAAACTTTGCAGTTTGTGGCCTATTTTTTAACACTTACAAAATATTTCTAAAATTGTAAAAGACTAAATTAAAAAACACGTTACAGTGTAAACTGAGAATGGTTACAGGTTTTGTTTATTTCAACAAAGAGTTTTCTACAACTCTGGATTCGACCTATATAATTGATAATTAAACAAACATTCAATAATTGAAATTCTGATTTTTTTAACTTTAGTTTCTAACCAGAGTCATTTTATTTTTCTGGTTGTTAAATTATTTGCTTTACTATAAGAGGTGAAAAATGGGATCAATTAAACAACAAATCCTTGTAGAATAACAAGAGGTACACTAACGTCACCTGGCAGTTAGTTGTAGTGCGAACAACGGTATGTCGATCCGCTCTTTCAAAATTAGACTTCACCAGTTCGAAATATTTTCCATCACTGAGTACCAAACACCTCAACCGAAGACATTTGACTCGGATGGAGTCAATGGCCTTGCTGCTACGGTCGCTAAACCTTAGGGTGTCCGGATCCCATCGAACTTCTAGCCTCTCCAATGGGATGCAGTTGTTGGCAATGCCATCCATGAGAGAATCAATATGAATCTTCTGATGAATTTTTTGGCAACAACCTTCGGGCATTCCCATAACAAGAATCCTGGTTAAAAACGAAACACAATTAAAAAAACAAGTCTTTCTGAAACAATACTTGAATAAATATCACAAGGAAAATCGAAGATTAAATTAGGTGTAAGAGATAACTAATATTATAGAAATAATACTAGAAAGAAAGTACAATAGTTTTTTAACCAAAACTCATATTTTGTGGACAGTAATTCTTATGCAAAGTGTTTTATCCTCCGAATTTCAGACTTACTCTAATTCTAAGAACCTATGAGTAAAAATAAAGAATAACGTATAACAAGATGTCAACCACACAATATTTGCAGTGCTGACGTGACCTTTCGACCAATAATTGGGTTCACCAGGCTAACTGGTTTACGAGAGACACAACAATAATTGTAATTCTACTTATATTATCAAACTGCATGATATTCATGGAACAATAGTTTTACATTAACACCTTTAAAACAATTTTACAGTATGACTGTTTATGCACATGACCTTGTATTAACTTTTTTAATCTAGCGTTCCTGTTCTAACTTTCCTTTACAAACGTTACTCTAATAGTCATTCTTCATTAAAGTCACTTTGTTAATGCTATTTCACTGATATTCTATAGAAGTGTTCTTCATTCATGTTATTTTATTAAAGTTCTTAACTAATGTTTGTGGCCCGGCATGGCCAGGTGGATAAGGCGCTCGACTCGCAATCTGAGGGTCGCGGGTTCGAATTCCCGTCCCACCAAACATGCTCGCCCTTTCAGCCGTGGGGGCGTTATAATGTGACGGTCAATCCCACTATTCGTTGGTAAAAGAGTAGCCCAAGAGTTGGCGGTGGGTGGTGTTGCCTTTCCTACATTTGGTGATGGCCTTCCCTCTAGCCTTACACAGCTAAATTAGGGACGGCTAGCGCAGATAGCCCTCGTGTAGCTTTGCGCGAAATTCAAAAACAAACAAACAAACAAAACAAACTAATGTTTGTATACCAATATTTCTTAACTAATGTTTGTATACCAATATTTCTTAACTAATGTTTGTATACCAATATTTCTTAACTAATGTTTGTATACCAATAATTCTTAACTAATGTTTGTATACCAATATTTCTTAACTAATGTTTGTATACCAATATTTCTTAACTAATGTTTGTATACCAATAATTCTTAACTAATGTTTGTATACCAATATTTCTTAACTAATGTTATTTCACTAATGTTCCGCAGGAATGTTCAGTCATTAATGTTACTATATTCACTCATATTTATAAAGTTTGTGTACAAGTATTTCTGAAATAATGTTTTTCCCTAATATTCCTGCAATAATGGTCTTGCTTTATTGTTCCATATGTTCGCTACTGTATAGTTTTTTACTCTGCAATGAGCACAGAACATTCATATTATGGCGACTACAGAGATTGAGTAGGTTATATTAATATATTATTGGAACCTAAACCACGTCGTTATAATCCGTGTCACTATGTCCAGTCATGCTCTACCTGACGACTATATAGTTTGATAATATACTTGCAGTGTAGTTTCCATTACAAAAGACTCTGCCGTAAGGATGTCATGTTCAGAACACGCTCATCCTCCCTGCTTGCTTTCTATAATCAATTTAGTGTATGAGGATGGTGATTTTCCAGCTCCCGTTCAAACAATCTAATCGCAAAGAAATCCATAGTCACTGCATCTGGTAACTTGACTGATATGTTTTCATATAGAATAGCATGAATACCCATATAATTCTTCAACTGCTTGAAGTATATAATAGTTGAATGAATATGTCATGGAAGCAGCTCGTATCGCTTTTACAGATTGAGAACCTTCGAGATTATGCAACGTACTGTTGCCTGGAACACATGGATAGCTTTTGTGTTCATGGATTATCATCTGTTGCAACACGCCACACCTTGCTTACCATGACTGGGATACGACTTGTTGCAAGGCTCTTCTGGATGGTTCTGGTACCTTTATGGGATCCATTTTGATTTATTTTTAAGTGCCATTAAGTACAATGAAAATTCTAAATTTCCAATCTGAAAGCATATACATTATCTGAGTGTATAAGTATTTTGAGTCGGAAAGAGCTATTTACATACTATTCCCAAAAGTGGTCAATATTTGGTAGCATCACAGTACTACGAAATGCTAGACAATTTAAAAATATAGTTCTTATACATTCTGTCCCACCGCGACTTTATATTATACAGTTGAGGTTATCACGTGAATTGCTGATTTGCATATTTAAAATCGTTTTCATATAGGGTACTCAACATAAACTCGTAGAAAATTGTTTATAACCACAGAGTATGAATAGTTTCTGTCTAGCTCATTTTGTAGATAGGATGCAGTGTTATGTTACATAGTGTCTATAAAGTAACGAAACTTGAACATCAGACTTTCTATAACTTTCTAGCCCCCCCCCCCCAATGGCACAGCGGTATTTCTGCGGGCTT